CTAGGGAGCCAGGAAGCGGGGAAAACATATCAGGACTGAGTTAGAGTAGGGGCTTACGATAGAACGGGACCGTGGGAGCTCGGGAGGGAAGTGTGGCAGTCCGTGGGGGCAGGAAGTCCGTGGGAATGGCGAGTGGGCCAGGTGAGCACCGCGAGATCCAGTTGAGCCGGAGGACAGACAGGTAGCAGACGCCGAATAGAAACCTGGACAGAAGTAGGCAGGTTAAACAAAGTTCCAAGCAGAAGAGAATGCACACTTTTCGTGGAAGTCTGGTTACCACTTTGGGATTGACTAACAGACTGGCGTGGAGCATCCGTCAGCGCCGGATTAAGTGGATCTCCGTGTAATCACCGTGATGGAGAGCAGGTGTGCTGGTGATGGCCCAGCCCGGGGGTGTGGCTACCCGAGCATCACGCATTCCACAGACACAGGACCACGGACCATGACAGTGTGTGTTCCTTCTTTTTTCCTTCAGGCTTGGAGGGAACATGTTCTGCCCGGTGGTGTAGGGTCCTAATTACTCCAAGTTTGTGTTCCAGAGGGTGATGGGAGTCAAAGAGGAGGTACTGGTCCATGTGTGTGGGCTTCCGGTAAACTTCGATGTTGAGGTTGCCATTCTCTTCAATGTGCACAATGTGCCTTTCCTGTGTTCCAGGAAAGGCAAACAGTTGTCCTTTGACTTTAGAACTGAAGAAGCTTCTCGGATGAGAGGTGAAACGTCTTCAAGTAACTTAAACAAGTCCAGACGCTTTTCTTTGCAAGCTCCTTTGACCACTACTGAGCTTGTTCTTCTCCCTGCAGCGACTTCCTGTCTGGGTTGAGCGACGATTCCATACTTCTGCTGCTCAACGAGGCCATTGGCCAATTAGCTCTCAGTTCTGACTCTACGGTGGGAGGGGCCTCCCTCAGATTGATCCTTCTTATGGCCAGTCAGCTGGGCCGCTGCCTCCGGCCCCTCCTCCTCAGCTTCAGAGGTCAGTAGTCTCTTGAGGGCTGTGTGCCAATCCAGGGGCAGCATCCTGAATGCATCGGAGGACCCAGCCCACGTAGACCACGAAGGCCAGGTCCAAAGACCGAGAAGGCCGGAAGTGCAAGGCTGTTGCGTCACCACTGTCTCAGCGGAGTTTAATAAACTCAGCTGTCTGCTTTTGGCTATCTAAAATATAACAGGACATTGGAGTAAATTCTAGATCATCTCACACTTCTGTTTAATCAGTTTTCTGTTTAACGTTTATTCAGCTGTGTGAAAACTATAACTTTAATCTCAGCCAAACCGATTTATTAAACAATAACATATGACTTCTATATCATGTTTAACCTGAGTAGCGAAAGACTGCGCAGGGTCAGAAAACGATGTGATGGGAGTCCAGTATTCTGGCCGGCTCTAGTGAGCCTTGACCACCTGGTCAGCTATCAAGCTGGTGGGTAACAGAGGTCTCCAAAAATGTCACAGCAATTTTGCAAATATGTGATGTCTCGATAAACCAAGCAGATATTTGAACTTTACACAGCTACATTTTTGCCTGAAAAAATGTTAAAAGTTTATTTTTTGACCCAGAAAGAGTAATATTTCAAACTCTTTAGCCTCGCTCCTCTGCCATTGCGGTGTTTGAAAAGTATTTCTATATTATTATAAAAATATTATAAATAATAATTTAATTAATAAAGGTTAATAAGAGCAATATTACAACTAAGTAGCTCCCACCATTGTTGGAAACTGGAATTGGTTGGGCTGCGCTATGAATTCTGGGCCACGAAGGATACACCCGACCCATCCTTCAAATTCGGGGAAATGAAGGATGCATTTGTTGGCTGCATTTGGAGCAGCCTTCGAACTGGGACAGCATTCGTCGCCTGGCTGTGATGTAATCGGCCTCCCAATGCAGCCTCCGAAGGATGCAGCTGAATTGGGACATAGCACATGTGTAAGTGTGTCACAGCAGCCGAAAGGTCAGAGGTCACTGTGTATTTGTGCGTCTGCAGGTCTGGACAGCCTGCTGCACAAAGACTGGAGGGGGCGGGGCTTCGACCGGGGCATTGATCAGCTGATCGCTCTTATCCAATCAGAGAAGGATGTCGTTAGTCAAACACAGGTGGGTTCGCTTTGTTAATTATTAAAGTCATAAAAATATTTTTGTTCTGACATTGTTTTTAAAGGAAAAAAATTATTCTCTGCTAAATTTTAAGTGTATTCAAAATATTTTATTGGTTTATTTAATATTTTTATTTATTTCTTAAACAAAAATATATTTTTAAATGTTTTTTTATTATTTACATTTTTTCTAACATTATATGTAAAAATATTGTCAAAAATAAAACCGATTTTTAAAAATATATATTTTTAGTATTCTTTCATTTTAAATGTATTTATGTTAACAAAAAAATTTAGTATTTAATTGTTTTTCAAATACAAATTTAAACAAGTTTTCAATTAAATAAAATATATTAATTTTATTATTAGTTATTTAATTAAAACTATATTTTTATATTTAAGTGCCTTATTTGGGATATTAAAATAATTATTTTTAATTTCATTAACAAAATATACTTTGGTAGCTTAAATTTTTCTCTCTCATTATTTTAAAACATTTGACACTGTAAAGCTGAATATGGATTACATTGTTTACCTATTTTATTGAAATAATTATTTTATTTACTTATTCTTTTATTTGTCTCCTGGATGTAGGACAGATTATTTCCTGCCATATAAATAAATTTAAAAAAGCATGAGACAGAATACTTGGCTTGACCTCTGACCCCTGCTGTCTATGTGCAGGGGAGTAGTGAGCATGTGCGGGCGGCATGTGTGATCCAAGCAGCCTGGAGGTCGTATAAGACCAGACGCAGAGTGAAGAAACTCAACAGAGCCGTCAGTGTCCTGCAGAGGAAGTACAGGTGACTACTTCCTGTTGTTTAGCCAACATGAGAGCACAGAAGCCCCGCCTACCTTAAACCAATTATCAAACTGGAGGTTTCAAACTGTAAGACTTCATGGCAAACTAATCTAGAATTTAATTTATCAGACAGAACTGATGGGGCCCAGTATAAGATGAATATATAATAAATAGGGATTATTTTAAACTGTTAATCATGCAAAGCTACATTAAAAGAGTCAGAGGATTAAAAAACAAAAGAGCTGGAAACAAGCAGGAGCTTGGATCAAAGCAACCTCACAGATGCCTATAGTTCAACCTGTGTGTGTTTGTGTGTCAGGGCTCGGAGAAGGGAGCAGCAGCAGCAGAAGGAGGCGCAGCTGTGGGAGGAGGAGCTCAAGTATCAGGTGAACCTTTCTGATTCATATGACAAAACTGTTAATTCTTCTATTCTTCTAAATCCCCCTTAGCTATTCCCAGAGTTACATTTTTAATTTGAAGGCTGTGTGTGTTATATTTACTAAAGCTTGTTCGCCGTGCTGTTTTCAGGTGTGTGTGAGACGTCAGCAGGCGAGGAGGAGGTTCCACCAGAAACAGAGACAGCTGCTGCAGCTGCTTCCAGCAGGTGAGAGACACAAAGCACCTGAAACCACGAGGCAATGTAGAAATCACTAAACCTTAAAATCCCTCCTGTTCAGACTCAGAGCGCCATCTCTCTGGGTTTGTCTTTAGTTTCTGTTAAACTCATGAAGTCTGCGTTTTAGAAAGAAAGAATTCCTGAGAGCAGATTTTAAAATCTTATAAAGGAGACGCCCGTACCTCACAGGGTTTATAATCTCCAACTTTCCTGCACAGCCCAATATTTCTGTCATGAAGTTTAGTGTTCGTTTTTCAGCTAAACCGCTACGATGATTCATCTAAATGAAATGAATCATCAATGCCCTGCGACAGACTGGGGACCAGTCCAGGATGTACCCTGCCTTTTGCATTAAGGCAGCTGGGATAGGCTCCAGCACCCCCCCACCCCACCCCACCCCACCCCCCAGCACAACCCTGTAAAAGATAAGCGGATGGATGGATGGATGGATGGAAATCATAATGAAAGAGAGTCTGGGGACATTCTTGTGTTCTCATGTGGAAGATTTGTTTCAAAATAATGAAAAATTTTTTTCTAATTTTGTTCAGTGAAGGCTGAACAGAAGTTTGATTTAGGGTTCTGCTTTTAACTGGTGGGATCGTGGTTGGTTTCAAACACCTGACTCTGTGTTTGTTTGTTCAGACCAGGTGCAGTCATACCTGCAGGAGTGCGAGAATCGAGCCGCTGTGGTGATCCAGAGCTTCTGGCGAGGCTTCAGAGAGAGACGACACTACAGCAGCACGCAGCGGCACATGCTCAGACGAGAGCGAGCTGTCAGGATGCTGCAGAGAGGGGTACACACACACACACATCTGTTAAGTTGTATTCTCTGGAGCTGGTTACTCTTTACTCCGTCTTATCTTACGTTTCTTTCAGGTGCGTCGCTTTCTACACAAACGACGAGCAGCAAAGGTCCCGCCCCTCCCTCCTTTCTGGATTGGTCAGAAAGGTTTGACAGACAGCCGGAGGGCGGAGCTAAAGCAGCAGGTGGATGAGTACATCGCTACACATCAGGTACGAGATTGATTTCAAAAAGTCCTCAACTGTTACCCATGATGTTTTGCACGCTACTGATTTGTGTGTGTGTGTTTGTGTCTGTGCGTGCGCCCTCAGTCGTTCCGTGTCTCTCCTGAGGAGTGTTCCTGCCTCCATGAGGAGGTGCAGCTGCTGCTGCTGTCAGTGCTGCAGACAGGAGCTCAGCAGAGGATGGAGGAGCAGCGGGTAGAGGCACTGCTGGCTCACGTGCACACACAGCTGGAGCTGCTCCGAGGTCCCTCACACACTCACACACAGCTTCACACATCTGGAGTTAAACTGAGATCAGTCGGATCAGTTAATAACAGTTGATCAATTAGTAACCAGTAAACATGTTGGCTCTACAGATGCTCCGCCCCTCTCTGTTGTCACAGAGACAGATGCTGACACCTTCCTGAGCCCGTCGGGTCCCGTCGCTGCTCGTGCCCGTGACGCCCACAACGCCATGCTCCAGGCGAGCCGGCTACCCTGGTGGAGGATGCTGGGAGACGCAGGTCCTGTGGATCCATTGGGCTCCACCCACCTGCCTGAGCTGGAGGAAGAGCTGGGAGGACTGTACATAGGAGGGACAGTGGCGGACAAGAAACAGACTCAGGTGGACGAAGTCAAACTGTAACGTGATCTCTCTGGTGAAATATGGACTCGCGCATCTGCTGACGAGGAAATGTTCTTATAAACATAGACTGTAAATAAAGGTTGGACATTACCCATTGTAAGTGTCTGTGTTTGGATGAGAGAATGGAGTGCTAAGCTATTAACTCAGCCTACACTGTATAGGAGCATCACACAGACCTGATGCCTGCTAATTAGTGGTCAGTAACATCCAAATGAAATCCTAGAATTCCACTCTCCAAAACTGGAATATTTGGTATTGTTGTTAACCACTAAGCAGCCATGTTAGTCTATCAGAAATGCTTCAAAACGGCTCCGACAGCACAAATATGTTTGAAGGTCCGGTACAGGGTTTCCAGTTAGCTAAGGTGAAACCTAGCAAACAGCTAGAAGCTGCCTATCAGTCAAACAGCCCACACCCCTAATTCAATTAAATTCTGTTTTATTTATATTGCGCCAAATCACAGCAACAGCTGCCACAAGGAGCTTTATATTGTAAGGTAAAGACAGTAATCCTACTCTTATCTCCAAATATACCACTGCTGGGCGATTTTAACATCCACATGGACAACACATCAAATTCAGTCACAAGAGATTTTATATCCTGTCGGGACAATTTTGGCTTACACCAATATATGGACGTTCCCACACACTCCAAAGGACACATTTTGGATCTTGTTTGCTATTGGTGTCACCCCTAAGAATTGTGCTGTATTGGACATGCCTTTTTCAGACCATAAATTAGTTTTATTCAATGCTAGTCACCCACTATACAAAAATTAACAAAACCGCTCAATTACTTTTAGAAATATTAGGGGCATTGATCTATCAGCTCTTTCCCATGGCATTAATAATTTACCTACCAACTCTGTTTCTTTCTCTCGCTATGCGCCATGGTACTCATCTGAACTTCGCCAACTTAAAGCTACTGGACGCCGCCTGGAACATCTCTCCAGGAAAACAGGACTTGCTATTCACAAGGACATGTATCTCAGTCATATATAACATTATAAAGAAGCTATTCATCATGCTAAATCTGCTTACTACACCTCTGTTATTGAATCCACTGAAGGAAACACTTGCACTTTTTTCTCTACATTGCATAATATTGTTAAACCCCCAGATACCTTTGCCATACATACACACTCTGCTGCAGTTTGCAACAAATTTATGGATTTTTTTTTCACCAAGATTGAGAATCTTTACCAACAATTGCCCTCGTCCTGTGAAATGGTCAATTGTTCTGCATTTTTTGTCCTTCTCAGCTGTCATTCTCTCTATCCAATTTTGAACTTCCCACAATAACTCAGCTATCTTCCATAATTACTAACTTAAAGTCATCATCGTGTATACTTGATCCACTCCCGACAAATCTTGTTAAACTCTCATTCCCGTCTCTTGCCCCACTGATTGCTAATATCGTACACTCCTCTCTTATATCTGGTTCTGTTCCTTTTTCTCTTAAAACTGCAATAATAACCCCAATACTGAAGAAGAATGGTTCAGATCCCTCCATTCAAAAAAATTATAGGCCAATTTTGAATCTCCCTTTCCTAGCAAAAATTGTTGAAAAGATAGTGGCTGCACAGGTTCATCATCATCTCACTGGAAATAACTTGCACAAACAGTTTCAGTCCGGCTTCCGTTCATGTCACAGTACAGAAACAGCCCTAGTAAAAATCACCAATGATCTTGTGCTTGCAGCTGATTCTGGACTTATATCCATCCTCATTCTCCTTGACCTTACAGCAGCTTTCGATACTATCTCCCACCGCATCCTCCTTCACAGATTAGCATCCATGGTACAGTACTCGCCTAGTTTACTTCTTATATCTCTGGCCGCTCACAGTTTGTTCAATTACTCCCTCACAGATCAGTATCTACTCCAGTTAATTCCGGTGTACCCCAAGGCTCTGTCCTGGGTCCTTTACTTTTTATCATCTAGCTCCTACCCCTAGGTAATATTTTTAGGAAGCATAACATCCAGTTTCACTGCTACCAAGATGACACCCAGCTCTACCTATCCTCCAAACCCACAGCTACTCTCCCACCCACATCCATTTCTGACTGTGAAATCAAGGTCTGGTTTACTCACAACTTTCTTAAACTTAATGGCAATAAAACAGAATTAATTTTAATAGGCACCAGATCAAAACTGACTACAGTTCCAACCAGTCTTTCGTTATCCATTGATAAATCTGTTGTCACACCCTCCCCTCAGGTTAAGAGTCTTGGTGTCATTCTCGATAGCACTCTGTCCTTCACAGCACATATAAATAATACCACTCGGTCTTCCTACTTTCATCTTCGTAATATTAACCGTCTTCGTCCCTCACTCACACCACACAGTACCGCCATACTTGTCAATGCTCTTGTCACATCTTGTCTGGATTACTGTAATTCTCTTCTCTATGGTCTACCTCATAAATCCCTCCATAAATGGCAGTTAGTTCAAAATACAGCTGCTCGTATTATTTCCAGAACTAGATCCACTGAACATATAACACCTGTTCTTAAACAGCTCCATTGGCTCCCAATTCACCTCCGTGTCAATTTCAAGATCCTGCTTCTCACTTTCAAAGCGCTTCATAACCTTGTTCCTCCATATCTATCCGATCTTCTTCATACATACTCGCCCCTTCCTACACTCCGCTCTTCTTCAGCTTCCCTTCTGTCTGTTCCACCTGCTCACCTGACTACCATTAGACTCAGAGCCTTTAGTTGTTCTGCCCCGAGACTTTGGAATGGACTTCCACTTGCTCTCCGGACCGTCTCACCACTTTTAAATCACGTCTCAAAACTCATCTATTTAGAATTGCATACACCTGATCTGTCTTAGGCCATTTTTACCTTGCTCAGTTTTTATATTTGTTTTTATATTTGTTTTTATACTTTTATGACTCTTTATGTCTTTTATCTTACCATGTTTGCTATATATACATTTTTCTTATGTTTTTATGGTATTGTTTACGTGTTACTGTAAGGTGACCTTGAGAGTGTGAAAGGCGCCTATAAATAAAATGTATTATTATTAATAGTAGTAGTAATACAAGGAAAACAGAGAAAACCCCAACAATAAAATGCTAATTTATTAGCCTTAATACAATTTAAACAGGGGTTATAAATAAACTCACTCGTGTACAGCTGTTCTGAAGGAGGAAATTAGCTTTAGACATCAAAGACGGACTCCTGATGGAAGCAGATAATAAACTCTCTGTTTAAAAGTCCTTGTAACCCATTTTCCTACACAACCCAGAATGCACCCTGACAGGTTGGTGGAAAACATCCACTCAGATGTTTTTTTATTGCTGCTTTTATTGCATTAATCTTAATCAGACACCAGAGGGAGCCACTCCTACAGCCCAGCAGCATGCTGGGAAGAGGATTTCTCTCCTGGCTGAAAGAAGGATGAAGAAGAGGAGGGTGAGAGGCGCTTGTTTTTTCTTCCCTGCACAGCCATCGAAGAACGGCGTTTGTTTCACTTTTTAAAGTTTAAAATGATTGAAGTCATTAAAGTTCCTCAAACAGCTGGAGGTTTCAGGAAACTCCTCCTCCTTATCTTTCTCCTCCTCCTCTTCCTGATGCGCTGTGATGTCAGAGGCGCTCCAGCATGCAGAGCCGGGTATCGATCGCTCTCATTGATTATTGACCGAGCCTGACGGGGAGCAGGGGCTCAACAGATGTTACATAAACAGTTGTTGAGCTTGTTGGAGGGAAACAGCTGCAAGAGAGCGACGCTGCAGACGAGCAGGTAGGACATCGCTTTTTATTTTACACTGCTGTCTTCATCATCATCTTCAGTAAAACTCACATGTGAAAACACTTCTTTTACACTCATCTACAGTAATGTGAAGCTAAAGTACAGTTAATAAATCATCATTTATCATGAAATCCTCAATCAAAGCAGGACTTTTATTAATAATAAGTTTAAAAACAGGACTTTTTGACCCATGTGTTATAATATAATACATATATAGGTAGTGCTGTGAATACTAGTTAGTACATCTTTAATTTCCTTTCTTTGTGTTTTTTACTTAATTACCAAACCAAACGTTTGTGGGGAATAAATGGAAAATAATTGGGGTCCTTTTATCTTTTCAAAGATTTTCAAGGACCCAAACTTTGATTGGTTCCCTCACGTTGGGCTCTGCTGAGGAAGTTGGTGTATCAGAGCTGCAGATCTGAAGGGGTTAAATTCAGAAGAATTTTAAGAGGCAGGCATTTCATTTCAATCCGTGTTCTTATTTCCCTTCTCCACCTCTCCCCATCCACAGGTCTCCTCTCCTCTTCCTCAGGACCTCTTCTTTTTTCTCCAGAGATGCCAGGGACTCTTCCCAGGTTCCCCAGCTTGCCGCGGGGGGTCACCATGCCGGCACTGCTGAACTCTTTGCCCCGAGGCATCAACCCTCCCAGTTTACCCAGAGGAATCACCATGCCCAGTATGCCCACTCTGCCCAGTTTACCCAGTATGCCCCGTGGCGTGACCATACCCAGCTTGCCAAGGGGGATGTCGCTGCCGAGGGCTGCCATGCCGGCCGTAACTGAGGCTCCAAGGCGGCTGCTGCAGGACTGCTGCTCTGTGCTGGACCACCAGACACCCGGAGGTAACAGATACAGTGAATACACTGGCTGCTTCACATTACGACTCCAACAATGTTTGTGAGGAAGACGTTTTTGAATCAAACAGATAAAGGATGGGTGTACTTTTAAATTCTTAAAACAGAAGCCAAAGCAGAAGTACCTTTAATTTCCTTATTAATATTCCCCATGACCTTGGTAAACACTTTCCTGATGTGTTTATACACTCAGTCTTTAGTTTTGGGTCTAACTAAATAAAAAAATGAATTCCACTGTGTAAACTTTGATCTCAATAGAATCAGGAAAGAGGAATAACTGGCTAACAACTCAAGACTTATGCAGGAGACTTAACTGGGATAAATAGATGCAGCCAAGCCTAACAAGAATAACATATAATATTATGAATTTAGGTTTAGTGCAAGTTATTGTTAATAAACAGGGCTTTTAAATTACATCCTACTGTGGATCAACAGTCTGTTGATAGCATTACTTTCATGGTCCAAAGTTCTGGAAATTAGATC